TCTCTCTCTCTCTCTCTCTCTCTCTCTCTCTCTCTCTCTCTCTCTCTCGCTCTCTCTCTCTCTCCAGTGAACCGCCGATTACTGTCAAGATTAACGGCTGTATGAAGCCTCCACCACCAACATAAGCGCCCAAAAAATACCGATTGCCACAAGTATGAAGCCTCCGACTGCAAGATCGACAGCTGGACAGGAGGACAGATAACAGGTGCTCCACAAAAGTTCTGTGACGAAATGGGCGCCAATCACAATGAGGGCAGCAGCTCCACAAGACAGGAGAATGGACACGTTGTTCTTGATCCAGTCGTCGCATTGTTTGATTGCCACGTGGCTTCGACTGCCGATGAGAGGTCCGGAGATGCCACGTGGCACAACAGAATGATGATCCTGTTGCTGGGATGTCCTGAGATAGAGAATAAGATCAATTTAGATATCGAAAATGACAGAAGAAGGGGGGAAAAAAAGAAAAAAATGAAACACAACCACTTTCTTACTTCCACACCGGAAGACCAGCCTTCTCGATGGACGATGGATGACTCACTCATCAATCGAATCTAATCAACCCCATCAACCAATCATGGACACCCCCATCAATCACGCATAAATCTCTTTGTTGTGAGGATCCAACAATCAAGCAACCAATCAATCAACACCACAGGATTACAGTCATCTTTCTGGCGACGCACGAATGGGAAAAGGGTGTCCCTCTCACGCCGGTATCCCAACCCACCCATTCCCCGCTCCACAACCCCTGATAACCACAATCCCGACCCCCTTAAAGACCTAATCTGTAATCCCTGGCAATCCCAACCTTACGTACGGATTGACAGGTGAACTGCGTGCAGCGTGAAGTTTCCTACTAGATCACCTACGTACGACTGACAATTGTCAGCCTAATCATGACCCCCCCCCCCCCCCCCCCCCCCCGCGATAACCCTCATTAAGCAATTGTGGGACCCCCCTGACAACCCCCAAAACCCTAGCATCCACACCATATTAAATTATTTTTTTTCTGGGTCATAAAGGGGTCATACGGGTAAAAATTTGCTTGCTCGACACCTCCAGCGTTGCCTCTGTTTTGCACTGCACCAGAGCGCGGCGCAGCCGTCTTTTAAAAAAAAAAAAAAAAAAAAAAAAAGATCAAGCAGAAGTAGCATGGAACATACTCATAACACTTTTCGCAGCTTAGTTACCGGCCAGACAGCCACAGCTGGATCGTCAATCAATCAATCAATCAATCAATCAATCAATCAATGACTGTGACGCGGCGCTACTCCTCAACCACCCAGCCAACTTAATGCCTCGTCATCTATCAACAACAGAAGTTTTCTTTTTTTTTTCTTTTTTTTTTTTTCAAAACAATTGAATCTATTTATTCCTCGCAATATTGGTCAGCAAACATCATAGCGCTTAATTACTATCACATCAACATTTTGTTTCGCGCCATCAATCGAGTGATTTAGTAGGCAAAAACACATTTCGGGGGCAGTTGATTGGATGGGTGATTCATCAAATTAAATCTGATACGAAATGGAGGGATGATTGATTGATTGATTGATTAATAACCTGATGATTATGCCTGTACTTGTCAGGCAAAAAAAAACACGTGTTGTCGGCAGAAACTTCACGGAAGTCTCCTCGAGCGCTGACTGAATCTTGCCTTGACGAGAATCAGCTGTTATAACCGAGACAGAGCGGTCCCCGCCTTGTGGCCTGCGGACGACCGATCCAGAATATTCCATGAAAAAGGCCTGATGAGCCTAACCACTCATCTCTCTCCATCTCCTGCCAGCAATGCCGCAATCCAATCATACATACCTTCCACTTCCCATCCCC